AAAGAATGAGAGAAAGAAGGTATTCACAAATTTTAAAGGGAAATATGTGTTATTCAATGATTAATTTTATAGTGCCCAATGATACAATGCAAATGATTAATACCCTATCATCTTATAACTTTTTATGTTATTTCATTTATATGTTGTCTGTACTATGTTATTATCCCTATATTATAGAAAAAGTCACACAGAGTTAGAAAAGCTAATTCAGATGTCTAATGTTGCATAGATTACAAACAGCAAAGGGGCATATTGAATGCAGGGCTGGCTGACTTCAAAGCCCATGTTCCATATATTGCCCCGGCTTGGCATTTGCATTGTTTCCTAGAAGTTCTGAACTAGAATCACAGAACCGGATTTCGGGCACTGCTCTGATTCTTCTAATTCCTTCATCTTCTGCAAATTGCTTAATCTCTTTTAGTCTCAATTTCCTTACCTGTAGAATGGGAATACTGGTATCTAGTTCAGATGACACCGTGAGAAATGAGTAAGATATATGTAAAGTGATGAGCACAGGGCTTGGAGCTTGATAAAAACTCAATGAATAGTAGTCAAAAGAAAAGAAAGAAGAAAACATAAGAGTGACAGTAGAATATAACAAGGAGCCCAACATTTCAACGTTTAGAGGTACTCTGTAGGAATATTGTACCTAAAACAGATACTACTACCTAATTTTGTCTCAAAAATCTGGATTTTCATGTCTTTTTTTGGAGTGCCATATTTATTTTCAACTTTATGTTTTATTTAATGTGGAATTATATTATTTGTCCTCAGAACATGCAGAAAACCACAAGATACTCTAGCCTCTGTGATGGTGGATCCTCCTGTTTGTTTTTGTTTGTTTTTTATTGTGGCAGGTGTTATTTTCTGTTTGACCCTACAATAAGACCTTAAGCAGTGAAACATGGAATGAAGCATGGTGATAGGACAAAGGATATGCTTTCTATATGAGCAAGGAAAAGAAGACTTCAATGTTTACTCTTATAAAATATCTTTATATCAATAAAATTGACGTAACATGTGTTTTTTGATTTTTTGAGGCAAGACTACATATGAAATATTTGAAATAGTGAATATTTTTTTGCAGATGACCTTTAGTATATTATGTAGCCTGTTGAGAACTATATATTTGTTAATCACTTCCATTACCCAATTTTACTTTGCATGAATACCATTCTAGTTCATTAAGACTTTATCTGTAACACAGTATTTTTTTTCTTGTACCTGAACACTCAAGACATTTTGCAGCTTCTGGTACTTCACCTCTGGGAAAGGAAAAAAACAAAAAGTGGAAAAAAAACCTCTTACCAAAAAGTCATTTTTACGTGGTTAAAGTAAGGTTTTTTTAGAAGAAATATCCACCATTAAAACCTCTTTACAGAAATCGTTCTTTAGTAAAGAAGATTTCAAGCATACGCATAATATGACAATTTTTTCACCATGTAAAATGTGAAAACTGTAATTAACATAAGGCATTTCACAAAAGTATGTGACAGTATAAGTGTCACTTGGGCAATCAAATCATGAAATCCTGTAGGAGAAGAGGGAAAAAAAAAAAAAAAAAAAAACACTTGGGTTTCTATATTCCGAGGAACCTAAAATGTCTATAATAATTTGGTATTACTATAGCCCTGCTAGAATGACTACAAACAACTGTAAAAAGTATAAACTTTCAATAATTTTTATGATGTCTTAAATTAATTATACAAATATTTCCCTGAATTTGCTATTTCTCCCTACATTATAAATACATTCTCTTGTGCATAATTTAAAAATGGCACTCTTTATTCCAATGTTGATACTTAATTATATATTGCCCTTCAAATAGACACATTTAATTCCTATCTTTCCATCCACATTGACATATTTGAATGGGAATGTATTAAAAATCTAATAAGTTACACGTACACATATCTTAATACATTTAAGCTTACGGCATAATAAGAGTTATTGAGAGGCAAAAAAATATGTACCATGTGTTATTTAGAAATGAAGCTCATGATATATTTGGATCAGAGTATGGTGATACATATGTCACTATAACAACTGATAAGAAAAGTGTATCTTTATTTCTTAGAGTTCAAATAATTAAAATGTTTGCCAAAGGACCTGTAGAACATCAGATCCATCATACATGTTTATATTGGCAAACATTTAAAAAAAACTCAGAAGAACAGATCTTGTGCTTCGGATTAAAAATATCCTTCTATATGTTTTGGCCTTAGTATATAACATAGAGCAATGACTTCTGGCTCTAGTTTTTGGTGGTTCCCTATACTTGCAGTCATTTTTTTCCAATATATTTTATGTGCAGCTGCTAGGCAAATCTTTCTGGGGCCTAGCTCATTTCACTACTCTGCTCAAGAACTATAAAGAGCTCCTTATCGCCTATTTAATAAATGTCTAAACTCTTCAGACTGACATTTGGACCTGCCATTTTAACAGCATTGCCCTTTATTCTCCTCCAGGCTCCTGTGTGTAGCTAAACTTGCTACTACTTGCCAGGCTCCTTGCTGAGTCTGGATCTGTGATTTTTCTACCTTTCAGACTTGAGCCAGCTTAAATACTCTCTTCCTAACTCACCCAGGTGGCAATAACTTCACCTGCTCAGAACTGTTATAACCCTTATCTGTTGGGAAAATATAAGAAAACTGGCCAGGGCCCCTCGGATGTTTGGAGTCTTGCCGAGCATCTGAGGTGGGTATGCCCGTGTGCATGGGTGTTCCTTGTTATTGTCTAATGTGATTGTGCATGTGCACCCAGGTGTTTTGGGTTATGGACTTTAGTATAAAGGACTAGGCGTGCAGATGTGTGAAGCTTCTAGAGACACTCTGGGGAGCCATTAGGTTGACTGCTCCTAGCTCTGAATAAAGCCTATTATTTCTTCACCCACGGCTCCAAGGACCTTTTCCTATTACCTGGCTCGTAGGCCTGCATGTGGAGGGTTTGTGACCCAGTCTGGACAACGGGCTCGAGGGGTCTGCGAGCCCGAGCCCTAGCTCTACACCCATCCTTCACCTCTACTGACTTGTGGCTCCTAATAATTCTTTGTGTCATGGTAATTTTTAGACTCTCTCCCTGTTTTCTGAACGTTAGCCCCTAGAGGTGGTATCTGTTTCACTCGACTTGCAGATGTTAGCAGGTATAACATATTTGTTCCTTTTCTGCTGACTGCTCTCTCCCTGTACCCCATTCTCTGTTCCTGTCCCCTTTTAAAAGAAAGAGGATATAGTTCAGAGGGGGGTCCTGACAAGGCAGGGAAAGAGGGGGATATCCTCCACTTTCAGCCACTGGTGGGATGGTAGGAAATATACAAGTTGCAGAAGTAGAAGTAGCAGCCAAATGGGAAGATGCTTCATGGTTTCTTTCCTCCCTGCTCTGGTTGAGGATAAAATCCTTGCATGGTCGGTGTAGATTGAAGACAAAATCTAATGGAGAATGGTTTTATCACCTTCCCATTCCCACAACTCCTACATGGGGCAGCAGCCTCAAAGAGGCTAGGTGATATGGTCCAGAGTAGTTTTCCAGTGTCCTCTGGACTTAAATCATGTGTGGACAGTATCTAGAAATTCCCAATGGTCCCATGGAGGAATCTTCAGTCAAGCCAACAGCACTGGCTGGAGATTCATAATCACAATGTTGTAATACCAGAGAGGTGGTTCTAAAGCTGAACAGTATTATGACTAATGAGAAGTTTATTGTGTCTCGAAGTAAGTGCTTACACGGTTTTGTTAAAAAGGCATAAGTAAAGCCAAGAATACCCTAAGTGGGGATAATTGGCCATACCTCCCTCCACACAACCATAAGGAGGTATCAAAGAAGTACTCATATTTATCATGAAACATATGGGCAAAGCTCCCTTGGACGCATCTAAGAATCACTGTCTTTACTGGTCAGTCCCAGGTTGGGAGCCTAAATAGACCTACAAAGAAGTCATGGTGCTGTACCCAGTTCACAGCAACAGAAGGTAAACCTGAAATGCCTGATTCCCTCATTCATTTACAGATTTAAAAAGAACAATCAAATTCAGTATCCCACTAAAGAATGCACCCCTTCCCTCAAAAAGGGAAAACAAATAATTGATTAGAGTACTATATCAATATTACTGAACATCTTCACTATAAAAAAGACACAACCGTGTTTGGAGATTTATTTTTCTTCCCTCCAGAAGCTCAAAACATACCACTGTGTAAGGATTTTGAATTAATCCTATGTAAGTAAGTACACTACATCTATCTTCCTAACATTTCTCTTTGTCACTTTCTAATATTCTATTAAATTGGTGTTTATTAGGGTTGTAGAAGGATATACTGGGAAAAGCACGGCAAATAAAGAAATTTTACAGTAACTACATGGTCTAGAAAGATACTTTCAAACTGTGTAATAAATCTTAATTACACAGAAAAAAAATACTATTGCCTCACTGAAAACGAATCATTTAGTCTCATTCTACTGAATAGTTTTAAATACTCTATTTTTTCATCTCATCATTGTAGAAATTTTTAACTTGCTCTTGAGTGTGTGAAGTCATTTCAATGGATAGGATAGGTTCTCTCAATTTGCCTTGTCCACGGTATATAAAACTCAAAGTCAAATTGTATTAGTCCATTTCTGTTGCTTATAACAAAATACTTGGAACTGAGTGATTTATAAGAAAAGAAAATTTATTGCTTGTAGTTTCAGAGGCTAGGAAGTCCAAAGCCCAGAGAACACATCTGGTGAAGGCTTTCTTCAGTGAAGGCAGGGTATCCCATTGCAAAATGGCAGATCAGAGAGAGAAGAGAGAGACTAACTTCCTCATTCACTCTCTTTTTAAAGCCCTCAGAACCATGCCCCATGACCACCATTTTTAATTTGTTCATTATGGCATGGTCCTGCAATCTAATCACCTCTTCAAGGCCCCACCTTTTAATTGCCAAAATAGGATTTTCCACCCTCTTAACACCATCACAAGAGGGATCAACATTTGGGGGGGGACACTCAATCCAAGGCACAAATTATTAATTTTATTATTAATTTTTATTCTGGTTAATTCAGAGCAACAATTTGTTTTATATTAAATTAATAGGTTTCTCCAAAATATTAGTATAAATATAACTTTTTAATTTTAATACAATAGTTTTTCATGTCCAAATTTTAATTTTTACTTATTTTAATTTTCAAGACAGTAAATTCTCTTTAACTATGATTCAATGGTTAGAAGTTTTAAAACATGGCCCTGAAGTTCTTTGGCATTCTTTCCATTAATATGTGGACTTTAGGTCTTCCTCCTTCAAATAGGGTGGGCTTGTGACTTCCTTATAACTAACAGAATATGGTGGAAATGGGGCTATGTGAATTTTGGGGCTGGGTGATAAAAGGCAGTGCAGCTTCTACCTTGTTTTCTGGAACCTCATGCTTGGAACCCTGGCTGCCATGTAAGAAGTCTGACTATTCTGAGGAAGCCAACCTACAAGAAGAGGCCACATGTAGGTGCTCTGCTTAGTAGTCCTGGTCTTTAAGTCCTTCCAGCTCATGTGCCAGACATGTGAGTGAATGAATCTCCAGATGATCCTGCTCCCAGCCATCTCAGGCTTGAAGTCTTCCCAGTTGAAGCCCCAGACATGGTGGAGTACAGGCTAACTTTCCTCAGTTTCTGAATTCCTTACCCACAGAAGCTGTGAACATAATAAAATCATTGCTTAATGCCATTTTTTTTTGGAGTGGGTTGTTACACAGCAACAATAATTAGAAACTAGGCTTATCCTTATACTTATTTCTCAGTTCTTCTTGTTATAAAATACCAGCACAAATTAGAAGAAAATAAACAGACTAAAATATGGCCTTTCTAATTTTTGACAAATGTTTTCATTCCTGAAATTTCATGCCTTTCTGAGATAATTTACTAAAATAATAATACAAATAAGGTTCTTAAATTTTAAAATGTATTGACATGTTTAGAATGTCCCATAATAAATATGATTGAAATGTTAAAAATATTAAAGTTAATGTATGAAAATGATCACCAGCAAATACGTACTAAGATCCGAGTACATTAATGGCACTCCATGTGATAATTTAAGTAAAATTTACATAAATTACAAGTTAAAATAATTTAATTTAGTAGGGTATAACCTAAATGGTATCTAATGCAAAACCTGACTGATGAGGCATAGATCACAGCTTCAGCTCTGGCCCTTTCCTTGCATAATATGTCATTTTGGTTTAACATCTTTTCAATGTTTTCTCTGAAGGCCAGAAGTTTGGCCAAACAGATAAATGGATTTTTATAGCTATGATTCTATACTACAGAATCTGTCATTGGATAATTTTATTAAGGAATGGAATTGAACTTTCAACAGAAGTCATCACAGAAATTTGAGAGTCAATGTGATACATTTACAGGCCACAGTCAATTTTAACACATTTACCAGGTATCTAATAAATAATCACTGGATAAAAGAGATACAAATTAAAATGGAAAATAGAAAAATTTTTAAAAAATAATATCTACTACTGGTAAAGGTGTAGGGAAAATGGCAAGTACATTCCCTGCAGGTATAAATTGATGGACTCCTCTCAGAAGAAATTTGGCATTATTTATCAAAAACCTAGTTTTGCTCTTTCTTTGACTCACAAGTTCCCTTCTAGAAATTTATTATAAGGAAATAATCATCATGCAGGCAAAAACATACCCATATATTTATTTATCATTAAATTTATAATATTGAAACATCAGAAGCAAACTGCATTGATTTTCTATTGCTGCTATAACAAGTCACCACAAATTCAGTGGCTTAAAATAACACATATTTATTGTCTTACGGTTCTGTATGTCAGAAGTCTGACATGCGTCTCATGGGGATAAAATTAAGCTGCCAGCATGAATACATTCCTTCTGGAAGTTATAGGGAGGACTCTGTTTCCTTGCCTTTTCTAGCTTCTAGAAGATAGCTATATTTCTTGACTCATGGCCCCTTTATCTAAAAGTCCCACCCCCTCCCAGCCTGGAAAAGTTTTCTGTTTTTAAGGGCTCATGTGATTGGAATTGGGCCCTCCTGGATAATCCAGGATACTCTCCCAATCTCCAGGTTCTTAACTTAATCTTTTGTCCAAAGTCTCTTTTGCCGTACGAGGGAACATATTCACAGGTTCCAAGCATTATAGTGTGGATCTATTTAGGGGGGCATTTTTCTGCCACCACAAAAGCTATCGGTGTAAAAAAAAGATATAAAATAAATAATTGTGATACCTGGCATTTTATGTGGTCATTAAAGCTATGTCATATGCAGAATAATGTTAATTCACAATCTTAAAGTATTAACCATGTGCTAGGCACCGTTCTAAAAGCTTTATATATGTTGACATTTACTTAATCCTCTCAACAACCCTATATTTGTGCATTGTTACTCCTCCCATTTTATAGATAAGAAAACTAAGGCACAGAGAGCTAAATGATTTGCCTATGATTACATAGTCGGTAAATGGCAGAGTTCAGATTATGAAACCAAACTGTCTAGCTGCAGAGTCCATGAGCTTAATGGTTAATCACCTGGATATATGTATGTTCTTGATCTATTGTTAAATGAAAAAAAGAAATAAAAGCAGGTTAAAATACATTATGCATAACATAATCTTATTTTTATAAAGACTGTTTGTATGAGAATGACAGAGATAATTTCTGGACAGCATTGAATAATTTTCTTCTTTTTATTTCCTATCAGTATTTGGAAAATAGTTATTTTCCTAATAGTTATTACTATTTAAACAAGAAAAAAATCCAAGTTTATATAAAATATTCAATGAATCAAGTCTGTTAGTTTTGTAAATATAAACATGATTGTTGTCACCATGTTTTTGAACTACAATGAATGAAGACTGAGTAAAACTCAGAGGAGTTGCAGAGCCAGGCTTGAGCATTTGCTCTAGCTGAAGTGGCTGAGTGCTGAGCAGACTGCAATCTGCTTAGTGGCTGTGTACCTGCTGCATTCCATGAGTTGTTCTGAGTGATAAATGAGATGATACATGTAATACAACCTTGAAAAGTACTTTAAAGCAGCAGGCCAAGGTGAGCCAGCTGGAGGTATGGAATATGTAACACATTTTTCCCACAGAAACAGGGCAATGAACAATAGTGATGTTCAGACTACTCAATGAAAGCCCGTAGTATCTCATATAGCTAAATATTTTTTGACCTTATTTCTAAATGAAAATGCAATCAACATTCCAATTTGAGACATCTCTCCTCTTTATGCACTTCTATGAACAGTCTCTTCCACTAAGACACTCAGTTCCAGGAATAATAGGAAATGAAACTGGAAGGGCATGGACATCCAAAAGAATGGAATTGAATCCCTAACTAGAGAACCTTCTTATAAATCAGATATTGCCTATACTGTACCTAAAGGATGTGATGTGAATTTAGTTTCGAGACAACAAAATATGTGTGATCATTCTCCTAAATATATTGTCATCACTTCTCTGTAGAATTCCAAAGAATGACAGGGAAGTATAGTAAAATATCAATAAGGGAATACAGAACAGTGGGTTGGAAAGTGAATTTTGGTGTCTAACAGATGTGCCTCAAACTTTAATTCTGCCACCAAGAACATGTGTTCCTGTGATCAAGATACTTTGTTTTTCTCTTAGTTTCTGTATCTTTAAAATGAGCAGTGTGCCAATTCACAGGTTTTCTATAATGAAAGAGATGATGGAGGGAGGCTTAGTAACAGTAAATGCTCAAACTTGAACATGTTTGTGGTTTCCTCTTCTGAGAATACTGCACCAATGATTTCAGATCAGGAATAAAAGCCCTTGGAGAGTGCCTCAGGTTGGCCCTGACACAAGGATTTGAGTGAAGTGGTTTATTTCAGAAGTGATCCAGGAAGCACTGGTAGAGGAGTAGGGAAATGAGGGCAGGGAAGGGAAGGAAACCATTTCAGAGTACATGAATGAGCAGGTTACCACTATGTGCAACTAGGACTCAGTCATGGGGGAGATGTTAATAGTGTGGACTAGAGCACGTCTTGGGTTTCCCATCTGTGGGTTGAAGAAGCTGGGATATTTATCCATCAACACCCATTCATTACTGAGAGTTGCTTTCCAGGCTGTAACTTCACTCTCCAGCCAAGCACTTCCTGTGGCTAGTCCCACAGGAAAAAAAGGTGGGCATGTACTGAAAGGATATAGTCCAGAGAATATGGGTGCGGCACTGACAGAGCCAGCTACAGATAGCATCATGCTTAAATTTTAACTATACAGTCTAAAGATTATTCTGGCTGTTGCTGGTTGCAGGGAAACCATTGCAGGATTACGGATGGATCCACATAAGTGCATTTTTGCTATGATAAATTTAAAAAGGTAATAGAATGCATTTGTCAATACGGCAGCAGTCTCTTCAATATTCAGCACTTACTTACAGCTTTCTTTTTGTTTGGCAATGCAAAATACCAGCAGCTAACATATGTGTAAAGACCGAATAATAACTAAGAAAACCGTTTGCACTAGATACTTCTGGCTTCAGTTTTACCAAAGGTTGTGGAGCAGCTATTACCTGCCAGGCCCTGCAGTAGGTAAGGGCACATATTGGGCTCTTTGAATTTCATTAAACATCAAAAAACGCAATTTTCAGAAGAAAAGCCCATCTACAAATGGGGTGATTAAAAGCAGACATTCTCATTTTAGCAATAAAATACCAGCGTTCCTTCAATTTAACAAAGCAAATCCCTTTTTGGCTCTCTAGGACTGGCAAATCATTTCTGAAAATTTAGTACCAGGTTTCTGGAGAAGACTCCCTTTGTGCTATTCGATTTCTATTTAGTCATTCTGATACGTCATAATATTTATTCAAAGAAAGCAATCATTTGGGATCCTTATTCGTGGTTCCCAGCATAACTTTATCCTACACAAATGTCACTTTCTCAGTAAGGCCAAAAGCTCTCTGCTTGATGTGGTTTCATCAGTCTTAATCTCTTAAGAGGGAGCTGGGGAAATGCCTACCATTTGGCTCCCTAACCATTACTCTTATCCATAGCAGCACTTCATCTCAATGAGTCAGTTCCCTAGTGGATCTGGAAACCACATCTTCACTTTCTGGCAAAGTCAGGAATGCTTTCGCTCGCTGTGCGGAGCTACAGAGGAAACTTGGCCCTTGGATCCACGCCCCAGGGGCGGACACCCGGATAAACACGTTTTGCCCTTCAGCGTTCCGCCCGCAGGTGGCAGCAGCGGGCTCCGAAGCGTGTTCCTTTGCAGGTAACAGCAGCCGCTGCACAGCTTCAGGCCGCACTCTCGGGCCGGGGCCAGAGCACCAAATCCGTACCCAGCAAGGACCGACCCTGAGGCTCCTGTAATTGAGTGTTAAAACAGTCTCTTATCCTTTCGTTTTTCGAGTGAAAGCAAACAACAGTTTGAATTAGCAACAGCAACTCATTGCGTTCCTATCCTCTCCGGTTTCTCAAATTTCCCAACTCCACCAGCAACTCGGTCCCTTTCCCCAGTCTGGGTCTGCTCAATAACTCTCCACGCTCCGGCCCTTCAGATCCTCGGGAGCCGGTGCTGGCGTAGGCAGTGTGCCGGGGGCCTCTCCGGCCGGTCGGGATGCCTCGGCTGCACCCCTATTTCATCACCCCACCCCCCTTCCCTAAGCCTCCTCTTCGTCCCTTCTCTCCCAAGCACACACGCACATACACGCAGCTTGCTCGAGCGTTGTCCTCCGGGCTCGGCTGCGGGAGTAGGACCGACACCAGCCGAGCAAGCTATGGACTTGCCGCCCGGACTCCTCGCCCCGAGGCCCCGCGGTCCCCATCGCCACCACCGCCGCAGCCACCGCTCCTGCGCTGTTCCTCCCCGCCTAGACATCGCCGCCAGCAGCCGCCTGGGCGGCAGCCCCCGCCAACCTCGGAGAAGTTGACGCCTTAGGCGGGGGCGACGGGGAGCAGGTTGAAGGATTTGTTGGAGGAGGAGGATTAACACATCTGGGCGAGGGGAGGGGCAGCGTCGCTGCTAGGACGCGGCGCGGACCCCGCATCGCTGCGCGCAGCAGCCGCCACCGCCGCCGCCGGGGGCCGCGGAGCCCGGACGCCCCC